TCCTGAGGTTCATCTGCCGGGGCCAAGCACGCTTGGACGGTGGCAGCGAGGTCCTCAGGACGTAGATGGATTGCCTTACAGGGCTAACGAGCTCCATCTGCCCGGGGAGGGGCCCCGACCGGGAATCGAACCCGGGTCTCTGCAGTGACAGTGCAGTGAATTTTCCCCTGGACCACCGGGGGCTCCCTGACGAACTAAGACAGACCTAGTAAATGTGTATTCGCTGTGCTGAAGAATCTCCCCAGGGCTGTACATCTCTCTTGAATACAACAGAATATGTGATTTCTAAAATCAGTAATCTTGTACTTTAATAATCTCTAATTCTTTTTCCTGGGACTTTCACACAAATTTATTTTGTCCATCTTGTTCCTTGTCTTACTCTCCTTTGTGTTGAATTCATGCATTGTTGAAACATCTGAAGCTGATAAGGAGAGTGAAACAGCATTATTCATATATTACTAATCATAACACATATATGAATGAGAAGACACCTGGTAGTGTTGTGTTGACAGCAACATATCTTTTGATTAAGCTGTCTGCATTCTAGCAATCTGCATGTGCTAAGAGTTCAGAAATAATGTATTTGTAGTTCATTTACACACTGTAGAAAGGATAAATAAACAGTAGATACACATAAACAACACCTTTCTTTCAGCTCAGCTTCTAGTGAAGACTCCAAATTATGGATAGGAGGTTTAAATAAATGAGACTTTTTAGGCTGACATTAAAAGAACATACAAACCACAAGTATTGTTTTAGAGATTATCAATTATCAACAAGGATTTTAAATACAGTTTAGGAACTCTAAATATTTTCTGTTAAAGTCCTTTAGTATCTTTCCTAAAGCCTTTTAGTACCTTCCTTTTCTCTTGCTTCTGTCTGCCATTCCACTTTCCATTCAGTAGTTTCAGCCCAGAGTTAGAAAGCTGTAAAAATGGCCACAAAACTCTAACACCTTCTTACTGTATAGATTTCTATGAGGTTGAAAAAAAGCTAATTTGTAATGACTTACGTGTGCTGAAGAGATACTGTTGGGATCGCAGTCCCTGTGATTTTAGAAAATTCAGTTAAGGCCAGCACTGCAATGACATTCAGCAACAAAACCCAATGACAGGAACTTTGCTACTGAAATCAATACCTCCCAGCCCTGCATTCTAGACTGTGCCTGCTTGGGTGGGCATCCATCTAGTCAATCTTATTACAAAGTTTATGATCATTTTATTTCCTGCTGCAGAATCATGAGCCATTCTTGGCTACCAGAGTGAATGGGTCCAGTGTAACTACCATGTATATATATATGCAACAAAACTCATATGAAAAGCATTCTAGAGTAGTACTGTAGCAATACTACACAAATTCTTACACAATCTCAAGCTACAGATAATAATTTCTACCGGCCTCAAAAAGAAAAATCCAAACCCAGATATGTATGTATACTCACATATTTATAAACACCTATGTATGTAAGAAAAAAATTACTCCAGAATGTTATCACAGTCAAGCAATAGCACTATGTTCTTTGACCTTTGCCATGTTGCTCCCCAGTAAAAAAAGTTTGGTTTTTTTATTTGTTTATATCACCATGAGGAAGAGAACAAGAAACATCTGCTTCTATAACTACTGCAGCACTTTCCTCTCCATCACCCTTTCTAAACCACAGTTGCGACCACCTCCTCCCATAAATCCCCTCTGAAGGAGCATTTTTCCATGTATACACTACTCCTTGTATACAAAATAT